TGCACTCTGAAAGAGGGGCGATGATTTTTAATAACCTTGAACACGAAGGGAAACCTTGGCGAATACATGCGTGCATTAAATATAGGCTTTCCTACATTTAGCAGTCAAAGAGGCAGCTCGGTTGATTCATTTCATCTTATTAAAGGATACATGTGATAATTTCTTAAAATAGTGTTAGAACTAATGTTTCAAAATGACCGTTTTTTGCTCTAGGAACAAATTAATTCGGGGCATATACAAGAGATGTATACATTTATAAATGCATATATTTTTTTCACTTGACAATTTCAGGAAATGAGGGTTTTTTAAAAAAAGGAATTTGACGCGAATATTTGAGTTCGGAACTCAATAGTCTTGATGAATTCCAGTTTGATGCTAAAATCTGACGAATTGCCTCTTTGTCGTCCACTAATTAACTTAAAATATCATTGTGATCTACGTGTCGTGAGCGTAATATGAAAACTGAAGATGAAAGTTCTATACAATGTGATCACCTTTTTGGGCTGAAGCGTAATAATAAATAAGTATAATAATATTAATCATATCACGTTACAATATGTGCATCATCAACATGGAAGAGAAGTGCACTTAATTAAATAAGCCTATCTAATATAGTTCATCATATAAATTAAATCCGTGCCCAGATTCATCTGAAGATGTTACAGTAAAAACCGGTCAGTAAAAGTTAATGAGAGACTGGACTACCATTACCGTAACTTAAATTTGATCAATTAGAATTTTTCAATTTTTTTCTACATACAAAACCAATGAATATTTTTTTTAAAACACAAGAAAATAATACTTTGAACAAATAGCATTGCACATTAGCATAATATATGCATTTTAAAGGTTACAACAGCTATTCCACCCTCTGGACTTCAATGACCGTCGAAATGACATTGAATTGTTTTGCGATAAAAGCTAGCGAAATGCATACCACATTTTAACTACAAATCTACTGATCTTCCATTTGTGGCCTCTTTCATGTCTGAGTCAAGGTACGCAATGATTAAAGTAATAATGCCCCCACAGTTAGCACTTAGTCCTTCCATGTAGGCCTAAACATTGTATACTAATGCAGGGGCGGATTCAGGATTTTATGGGGGAATGTTTTTACGTTCATTGCCCAAACATCTCTTCACACTGAAAAAGCCCCTCCAGTCGTTCTATACGTCTTTAGATTTATTATACTCTTTTTTGAAGAGCTCAAAAATCAACTGTTTAATCATCCAATCAACCGAGCCCTCGGAACCCTGAGTCCGTCCCGAAATGTCTAAATTTAAAGGTATTCTATACGGGTTTAAACTACAGAATGGATTTTTCTCGTCGATTTGAATGTCATGTTTTCCTGTTCATTTCAGAAGAAGCTAAAATCGTCAGTTACTTTTATTTGAGGCTTTCTATAGTTTTTTTTTTTAATTTCTGAAATGGGAAATAATAAAAAATTGCAGGATATATAGACATTAAAAACTGACTTTGAAAAATGTTCAAACGCGTACAGCGTACCTTTAAGTTTGAACGGTGC